GACTCTTTTGATTGTACTCGATGTAAATTGACATGGTGCTAATTAGTACTTAGAATATGTTCATGTAAATTATTGTTATTTGATGAAGGTATGTAGCTTATGACATTATTCAAACTCTCATTTATTAAAGTGAAAATTGTGTCAATTCTAGCAAGCGTAGTTTTATTTTAAGAAGATTTCAATTTTGGTCATATGACTATAGGTGCTTTGTTAATTTTAGCATCTAATTTTTAAAAGTGTCAATTTAGTACCTTGAGTATGTAAATTTTCTCAATTTTGGTGGCTCCGATCAAATTGCCGGTCAATTTCGTCGGAAAATTTTAATAGTTAAAATAATGAAGGTATTTTAGTCATTTCACATCTCTTTTCTTCTTTGGCGAGTCTACCATGTTTCAGTTGTTTCCGGCGAGTTCTCCCGGCTTCGAAAGTACAGTCGAAGCGGCTAAAGGCCACTTTTAAAACCAAAACAAATCTAAACGCCACTTTTGCGACCTTACCGGAATCAATGACAAAAGCATTTTGACTGGTAGCCTCCTTAGACCAGGCACCACCGACATTGGGGAACCATCGTGGAGGACCAAATCGAAGGTTTTGCAGCCATTCTAGCATTTTCTTCCGGTCAAGGGAGGTGTTGGTGAACGTGGAGAGCGCGAGTCCGCCGGCCAGGCAACCGAGGAAGTACAAGGTGACTGGCAGGTCGGTGATATTAGCCTCGGCACACTCCGAGGACCAATCGGAAACCACGGTGGTGTTCAGCGGACTCCGTGCGGCCGGCCAATGTTATTCCATTTGTCGGAGAAGAAAGAGATGTCGTCCTCACCGTGGCCGCCGTCCTCACCGCGATCTTGTTAATCCCTCTCTTTGGCCAGAAATGTCAGCCTCCAATTCTAGAGATTGAGAAGAAAGAAAGAAAAGATTGGGCCGGAAAAACCTCGTCGAAGAAGAAAAGGAAAGGGTAAAATGACTAAAATACTCTTATTATTTTACCTATTAAAATTTTTCGGCGAAATTTGGATGACAATTTGACCGGAGTGATCAAAATTGACAAAAATTACATACTCAAGATACTAAATTGACACTTTTGAAAATTAGATGCTGAAATTAACAAAGTCACTATAGTCATATGACCAAAATTGAAATTTTCTCTTTCATTTTTGAAAATATGACACAACAAAAACGTTTTGTGCAACACTTTGTTTTAATGAAATAGTCCATTTTTATCTATTATTATACTCCGTATGAGTTTAGTGCACAACATCTCATAATGGCCTTATCGGAGTTGAGGAATCATTCTCTATTTGTTTCATTGTTAAGCTTTAAGAATGACAATTTATGCCAAACACCTTATGCTCAGATGACATGCAGTGACTTTTCTTATGTGGGAGGTCATGAAATCGAGCCTCAATAGAGATGTTGTTGATTATTTGTGCTTTATTAGGTTGAAAAAGTATGTCTGAACAGATACTACAATGTAATAGAATAAAAGAATGACAATTCATATTTGGTAAATACTTGTTCCTATCTTCTTTGAGCGAATTTGGGTTTGGATATCAAATTTTCACAAACCATGAGTGATCAATGAAATTCGAATTTTACCCAACTATCCACTATTTTATTCAACATGTTTCCGTGTATATTCCTCCTAAATGCTCTGTCGGGTCGGGGTGTGGGGGGCCTTTAGGGTTGGGATCCAGCTTTTTGGAAGAATGTTTCCGTGTATATTTTAATAAATTATTTATAAATAACATTAGAGTGTATATACAAATATGCAACACTCATTATTTTTAATACTAAGATTAGGGAAAATGACATTTTTAGTCCATTAATTATGTTTAAATTGTAGACTCCGTCTATAAATTATTGCTATATACAACTTTTCACCTTTAATTATGTTGAAAGTGGTTGTTTCAATCCATTATTTATAAATTTTATTAACATTAAAAATTTATTTTGATTTGTCAAATTATTATAGAACAAATTGGTCATTTTGTAAAAATTTTCAAAGTATTTTTTTTAAAAAAAAAAAGAAAAGAAAAGAAAAGGAGAAGCTCTTCACATTGATCATTTCAAGTGAATGTTGAGTTTGTTGTAATGTTGATTACACGAGAATATGATATGATATGTTATCTGAGCACACAATGTTTAGCTATTATTAATAATAAATTTAGTTCTTAATTGTTTCCCTATTATTAAATAATAAATTTAGTTTTAACTATTTAATGCAGGCATAAATAATTTTTTGATTTTTAATCATGCTTTGGGATTTTTAATCATGCTTCGGTTTTGATCTTCTCATGAAGAATAATTAGAAAGCAATTTTTTTTTTAAAACAACATTTTTTTTTATTTGTCTATAATTTAAAGATTAAAAATGTAATGTGACATGATTAAAATTGCAATGGATAAAAATTTTGAGAATTATGTTCTAGATAAACAATTTAACAGCTGATTTACTTTATTTAAAAGAATTGAGGATGAATTGAATTTAAATTTTATGAAAAAAAAGTTACTTGAAATATTGATTATATTATTTATTAGTGGTTCTTTGTGCTTCAGTTGGTTGAGAAAGTATATGAACAGATATTACATTGTAATAGAGCCAGTAGCATCCAAAAAAAAATTATTTATTAGTGAAAAATAAATTGTTAAAAATAATTAGTTTTAACACTCAATTGCTCTTACATAATAAATATATGCGAGTGTAATATAGAAATTCATATTATATATTTTCTAAAGGTGTGAATATATATATATATATATATATATATATATATAAATTAATCAAAGGGAATTTGAAACGTAGAGACATCATGACATATTGTCAGCAGTTCTTGAAAAAGAAGATCACTCGGGTTCTGTAAGAGGAGTTAGGTTCATACTCTACCATCCAAGGAGTGTTTGGTAAATCAGATCGAAAACGGAGCACATCGAATGGGGTTTTCACAGTTGATGTTGGTAAAAAAAATATGATAGAGAAATGCAAGCAAGATACAATGACATAGATGGAAGCAAAGATGCAACCCAAGATTGATAGCTTCAACCAGCAACTCCAGTTTCTGATGAAGAACATGTCGGTAACACATCTATTTTCACAATAGGTCTCGGTTGGAACTCCTCAAAGTGTCTATACCCCTTGTGATACACCGTTTTGTGATCCACCTCCTACTTGTAGCAGCTGTCATTCATTTGACACATATTCAGTTACAAAAATTAAGGTAATATTAAAAGTTATTTCATAATCAAAATATCATTTCTTGTTAGATTAAGATTAACACACAATTTTCAATAGTAGAGTCCAAAAAGGTGTATACTAGCCGTATGTCCTAGTGGCACACCGATTGTTGTTGCAAAGGGTATGGCTCACCCGAGTACAAAGACTATGGTGCATCATCAACCATTGTTCCCTAATTGTGTCAAAGTTTGGGTCGATGAAGTGGTTCATGGTGGAGAGCAATTTAATCTCCCCCTGACAGCTCAGCAGTATGTCACTGTATGAGATATCGTTGGCAATTTTGCACAATGGCATATGCATTTAGTGATTTTGGATGAGGTATACATTCTTATATTTAGTTATTAAGTTATTTTTCGTTGTTTACATTTAAAACGTTAGTATAATTACAATTTTATATTTGTAGAGTTTACCAAAGCAGAATAAGAAAACAAGAGATCAAAGTGGTGAAAATAAGGCAACGGTTTAATGGTGTTATAGTTCGTGATCACGATGGCCAGTTTGTTGCTGCGTGTGGCGGGATACTGCAATGCCCTAACGATCCATATATGGTCGAGATAATGGCGATTAAAGAAGCACTCACATGGTTGAAGCATCGCAACATATCACATTTAATTTTAGAGTCGGATTGTTTAAATTTCTGCACGAACTTTAATTCTTCTGTTTTAGATTTATCGTATGCTGGTGTGGTTATAAAGCATTGTCATTCAATTGTGTTGGACATTGGGGACGTTGTTGTCCGCCATGTCAAAAGGTCAGCGAATTAGGTTGCTCATGTGCTTGCACAGGCGGCGGTTTCATTATCTGTCCTTGTTCATGGGATACTATCCCTCCCATTTATATTGCAAATTTGCTTTGATTAAATGAATTTACTTTGGTTTTCAAAAAAAAAAAAAAAAAAGAAAAAGAAAAGTGGTGAACTATCTGCCACTGGTACACGACTTTCCATTGTTGGCGATGATGTCTTATAGCACTTGAGGGATAATTGCGAGTACTTAGTCAGTTTGTTAACATCATTTCAACTTGATAAATAGTACATTGATTTGGAGATAGATAAGACAATCTTCCATCATACAAACACGCGTTCTATTTTTGTGATGATGGATGACATAAATGATTTGATGACGATGAATTAGCTTGCCATCTCAATCATACAAGTGTTATATTGTAAGTTTTTTTTTTTTAAAAAATTATTATTGTGTTATATACATATATATATATATATATATATATATATATATATATATATTTGTTTGTTTTTATGTTTCTTGAAATTTCTTATTATTTGTAAATTTTCAGATTTCTTAATCGGTCGTGCAATCAGTTTCAAGTCATGTCAATGGGTTTGTCTGTCCGACTCATATTTCAAAGGATATGGTTAACGGAATGTTCTCACTGTTACGTATTTCATTCACGTCATGGAGCAGCACCAAAATAAACAATTTATTTTAGCACCATATCATCAAGAGTAAGAATTGTTCTTTTACTTTACTAATATATAACTTAATAACTTTATTTGAAGTATTAGATATTAAACTTTTAATATGTATGTGTGTTTTGTAAATGTAAATCTCATTGATTACTTTTGGTAATTTGCATACGCTCAAAAAGCGTATATGTCTTTGATCCCACCATTGAAATTAATGCTTATGTAAGTAAATGTCTTATTATTATTTTTGAAAGTCCAATCCGGGTACCATTAGACCACATAGTCCTGGTAAATGTCTTATTATTAATATTAAGTGTTTTACCTTCTATTATTTTATTTATAAATTTTTATGTATGTTTATAATTAATATAGGGCATTTCGTTCTATTCCTATGAATGAACGGGTTAGGAATATCAATTGGAAGCAATGCAAAGTATGTACGAAAATTGAATTAAAGTTTTAGTGTGATATTTTGAATTACAATAAATTGTTTAAATTACTAAAATGTATATGTATTTTGTAGTGCCCAATACAACCGGGAGGTGTTGAGTGTGGATATTATTTCATGCGATACATGTTTGATATCATGACCAAATATTCATCTGTTAATTGTTTGGATGAGGTAAGTGAATTTAAACAGAACTATGTATAGTTAAATTATATTTTATTAATTAACATATTTAATAATTTTATTAATTAAACTATTTTGTAGGCATTTGAAAGCAATAATCTGTACTCTATCAACCAAATAAATGAGATTCGAGAGTTATGGGCAAAATACTTCTTGGAAGAGTGCGTGTAACTTTCCTTTTAGAAGAATATTTTGTCATGAACTTTTCTTTTAGGCCGGCGTAACTAAAATTGGATAAAAATTACATAGTTAAGGTATTAAATTAACATTTTTGAAAGTCATGTTGTAATTAACACAAGTTCAATAGTTAGTGGACCAAAATTGAAATTTACTCTATTATCTTGTGTTGATAACTTATTATTGTGTTAAAAGTATTGGATTGATATAAATTATTGTATTGACGGTATTATTATGTTGAAAGTGTATTGATAATATTGTGTTAGTTAATTTGTATTGCATATGTTGATAGTATTTGTGTTGATAATATTGTGTTGTTAGATAAATTATATTGTGTTGATATATAGTGTATTGATAGATAAGTTATATTTTGTTGATAGTTATTAGTATAGCACGCGTTGATATGGATTTTGAGATGTACAAGAATTAAAAAAAAAAATTAGGGGTTTTAAAATAAAAATATATTAAAAAAAAACATTCGCGACCGTTCTTCACCAAGAACGCTCACAGATGAGATAAAAAAATTAACGTTTTCCTGCATTGTTGTTGTTGTTGTTGTTGTGTATTATTATTATTATTATTATTATTATTATTATTATTATTGTTATTGTTATTGTTATTGTTATTGTTATTGTTATTGTTATTGTTATTGTTATTGTTATTGTTATTGTTATTGTTATTATTATTATTATTATTATTATTATTATTATTATTAAGTTAATATCAATTGGGGTTCCTTACTATTGCGATTTACTTAAAAATGTCATCTATTTAAATTTTTTCTCGATTTAGTCCCCTAACTATGTACTGAAACGTTACCTTGTTAGTCTGTCAAAATGAGGGGTCATTTCCTTCATTTCACGCATATGTATACATACCATCCCAGCTCTAAAATGCATAATGAAATCTCTAAATTTACAGTTGTACTCGTCATGAAGTATTGAAGACCTCCATCTCGATCTCTATGGTTGTTAAGAGTTTTTGCACAGGGGTTTAAAGACATTATTAATTGCTTGTATAGTGAATATTTTATTTTTTAATAATATGTAAGTTTTAAACTGTGTTAGTTTATGGTCGATATGTGATGTAGATGATGGATTTAAATCTTAGGGTGCAAAACATTCAAGTTAATAATTGTTAATTGCACTTTGAGTATGTAGAAAAATCATTTATGAGATGATTTATGTGGACATGATGCTATTGATTTGCCTTAGTGGTGATAGGTTTTGCTTTTTTTTTTTTTTTTTTTTTTGGGGGGGGGGGGGGGGGGGGGTGGTGGTGGTGTTTGTGTGTGTTGGAGTAATGAATTTAGGATTCAACATTGTTTCATTTTATGATTAACCATAATGCATATATAATACAATTCTAAGGATTTTGATTGGTATATACTTCAAGTCCAAACTTTGCTTTACCTAGCAATTGTATCAACCTCCACAAACATTGTCCCATGTAGCAATCTTTGTTTTGCAGCAGTTCACATAAAATAAAAAATACACGAAGCTAAATAATGAATCCAGCAGTGGCAGTGAAGGAAGGGGGAGGAGGTGATTGTGCTTGTAACACCCCAGATTTTCAAGACCTTTAAAACTTATATAATAAAGGTAGAATCTCATTAAATCCCAAAATACGATACAAAGAGTACGGGGTGCTATGCCACACCTAAGCTAGAGAACTCAGGTGCACAGGCTAACTACTAATATCCTCAATAATGTAAACGCATAGACATGGCACGCAGGCCGAAAGGGAAACTATCTACTTCTACGCTCCAAGTTCTAGCGCGCTCCAGTGACTTACTCTTCTGTGCCTGAAAGCCAAATATATCTGTTCAGCGAGAGATGTTGGTAACCCACTCCAACGCGTTGAAATACGATACATATAGATATATATATATAGATATACGAAAACCATTTTGAACATGAAGATATATCCTACGAACTCTAGCTTTTAAAACAGGGATAAACTCAACAGATAGGGTTAAGCACAGACAGCAGTTACACCAAGCATATACAGTTTACAACAGGCAAGGCAGATAAGATAAGCACAATTAATAATCATAACCCAACATATACGATTCCCAATATGAATCCCATAGTCACATCCCCAAGGCACTCATACAACAACTCCTCCATATCTCACCACATAGCACACTTTGTTGGCACCACAGGACCAATCGCATGCCCATACATGAGTGTCAGCGCATATAGCTCTGACACGGCCCCGCAGCACCCTGCCCCGTATCGCAACACGGAGGGGTCGATCGCAACCGACCGATGAACCGCAGCTCATCATAGTTTGATCGCAACCAAACAGTGGACCGCAGCCCAAGAGTATGTCATCTGACCGCAGCCAGGAAATATGAACCACAGCTCATGTAGAAACGTTTGATCGCAACCAAACGGTGGACCGCAGCCCGGGAGTGTAAATCTGACCGCAGCCAGCTTCTGAACCGCAGCTCAGGAATAACCAATTCGATCGCAACCGAATTGGGGTATCATGCACACATAACACATAGCAAACACATGCAACCCACATTAACACATTGGGAAGGGGGAGAAAGCGTATAACAAAACCTATGCGTGATCCTTCACATACTAAGAATAATCCTAAGGGGTTCATACTTCTTTCACCTAGGTCAACGGGATACCAACTCAACTAGCATGCAATATATATAAGACTCATACAACCTACGAACGGTACCTGAAATATCAAACTAGACATAGGCACGATAGACGGAGTCCGTTGGGACACCACGGGGGTCGGGGGAACATCAAACGGGGAAGCCAAAATCCCAAATTGGGGTCCAAACCAGCGGGTAGCCGGTGGGTGAGGAATCACCCGCCGGCGGTAGCTAATCCGGGCAGCGGGTGCCCGGCAGGCAGCTGCCCGCTGCCGGCGTTGCCCAAGAAGGCCGCGGGTAGGTGGCGGGTCCCCTACCCCCACCTACCCCCCACTGACTCTTTTTCACCAAAAACGCCCCAGGAACCTTTGTGGAACCCAAAACCATGCTTAGACACTTTCAAACGCAATTGATAACACACGTAGACAATTAACGGATCAAAGATCGAGAAACATATGGCACATAACCTATTATGCTTTTCTAAACATAATCAACACCCAATCATGCGAATTCCCACCCAATATGCCAAGAATAATTCCATACGATACAACCTAGGGTTCTAACCATTTTTAAATCAACAAGGACACAATTCATCTTCTAATATCAAGATTCGGTAAGAATATCACATAAACATCGAGAACATCATATAATCATCAAGAACGTCATATAATCATCAAGAACACCATAATCGTCAAGAATCTTTCATCATCAAGATTACCCATGGAATCATTACACCAATCATCAATAACAATATCACAATTCATCAATACACAATAATATGGGGAAATCCTAAGAGGGGAATCATAGCTATGAAAATAGGTTTTGTTGAGACATGGGTTACCTCTTAGCCTTAATTAATTCCTTGGCTATGAAGGGTCTTTCTTTAAGCTTTCTTGCTTTCTTGATTTCTTCTAAGGGAATTCTTGGAGCTCTTTGGGGTGGTGAGTCGTTTATTGTGGTGGGGATTCTAGGTGCCTCCTTATGTTCCCTATTTATATATCTAAGATTCTTACTTGGGCCTAATTACTATAGGTTTGCTAACTCTATTCCTTTTGGGACTAAGGATTGGGTTTAGGGATAAGGGCCCGTGGACTATGGTGGGCCTTTCCTAATTAATTATTGTGATTTAATTCTTTCTTTTGGGTAATTTGGTTAAATGATTAATTGGTTTTAGGGATCGTAACACGGGGTGTTACATTCTCCCCCCCTTAACAGGAAGCTTCGTCCCCGAAGCTTGGTCCTTGTCGAGTGACTTCTTCTTCGTTACCTGGTGTGAAAAGTTCGGGGTAGCGTTCCTTCATTGTGTCCTTGAGTTCCCATGTCGCTTCCTCGGTCCCATGGTTGGTCCAGAGGACTTTCACCATTTCTATGGCTCGACGTTGGGTGGTTCTTGTCTTGGTGTCCAGGATTCTCACGGGTTTTTCTTCATATACTAGTGACTCGTCGAGGTCCACGACCTCGGGTTGAAGCACGTGGGTTGGGTCGTTCACGTATTTCTTTAGCTGGGATATGTGGAATACGTTGTGTACTCGTTCTAGTTCAACGGGCAGAGCGAGGCGATAGGCTAGGTTCCCAACTCTTTCTATGATTTCATAGGGGCCGATAAATCGTGGGCTGAGTTTCCATTTTCTTCCGAATCTCATTACCCCCCATGTGGGCGAGATTCTCAACCAGACCTTGTCCCCGGTGTTGAATTCGGCTTGCTTCCTCCTTAGGTCGGCGTAGGACTTCTGGCGGTCCTGGGCAGCCTTCATCATTTCCTGGATGTGTTTGACCTTGGTTATGGTATCTTGTAGGTATTGGGGTCCTAGTGCTACTGGGTCGACCATGTCTTCCCAACATAGGGGGGTTCTACACTTCTGTCCGTATAAATCTTCGTAGGGCGCCATACGAATGCTTGCGTGGTAGCTGTTGTTGTATGAGAATTCAATAAGGTTTAGGTGTTCCTCCCATGTCCCTTGAAAGTCTAACGCACAGGCTCTTAACATGTCTTCGAGAGTCTGAATGGTTCTCTCGGTTTGGCCGTCAGTGGTGGGGTGGAAGGCGGTGCTCAGCTTTAGTTGTGTCCCCAAGGCTATTTGCAACGATTTCCAGAATTGTGAGAGAAACCGAGAGTCTCTATCGGACACAATGTTCCGGGGGACTCCGTGGTACTTCACTATTCGGCTCAAGTAGGCTTGGGCCAGTTGTGTCATTGTCCATGTTTCCTTCATGGCAATGAATCGTGCCGTTTTGGTTAGTCGGTCCACTATGACCCAAATTTTATCCTTGCCGGTTTTGTTGGGGGTAACCCTCCGACGAAGTCCATGGATATGGAATCCCACTTTCCTTGTGGTATCTCAAGGGGTTGTACGAGTCCCTTGGGTTTGCA